GCAGAGCACTGGGAGGTCTTTTAGCAACAGATTGATGGCAGAGGAAGACCCTATGTGCTCTTGTGGAGAACATCTGGAAGAGAAGGGGATGCTCTGTCCATGCTACACCCAGCACTTCCCTCACAAGGGGACTTCAAATGTCATCTCACAGTATAAACTTGTCAGGACCTGTATGAGTCTGTGAGCTGTGAGTCAAACATGTCTGTTACTCAGCCAGCAAATGGATCTGGACAAGAAACTTGTCTTCCTCCAGCCCTCTCTGTGAATATTCAGGAGTGGGCCCCATAAAATGGGGAGTGGCTTTTGTGGGGAGCAAGGGGAGTTAAAGAGAATTCCCGTCTGCATCCTGCAAGGTTTTCCTGTTACAGCACTCCTGCTGATTGCTCCTGTTGGGTTTGCAGCCTTGATGTGCTGTTCAAGAAATACAGCCTTGTTTTTCAAATAACATGTCCTTCCAGGTGGCACTTGGCCCAGTAAAGCTGCCATAGTGTTGTAACTGGAGAATACTGCGATGTCCTGGAAAGAGTCTGCTCTGGTTCTCCCACATGTGTGTTTGGGAAGAACCAAGGACACATCAGTCCTCAAAAAAGGAAAAAATAACCCCTTTTGGGCTGGAAATTCGTGCTGTTTTCTGATCTCAACTGCTTGTGCTCCCTGAATCTTTCTTGCTCTGAAAACTGCACTTCTGTCCTTCCTGGTGGGATTTGCCACTCATCACCCAGCTGCTGTGGGGGATGAGCACTGAGATTCTGGAGCTCTGATGAAGTGTAAGGCTGATGCTGCCTGTAAAATGGTCCTGAGGGTGGATTCAACGCTCATGGGCAGCAGAGCCACCACTGAGATCTGGGCATCTGCAGACTGGGAGAAACCAACCTTTGGGCAACCCTCCAGCAAAGGGTGGATCCAGTTCCTGGGCTGTCTCAGGCCTCATCCTTTCACACGGCTTGAAGGTCTTGCAAATACATGGACTATGTGCCAGCAGTCCATCAAGGTTTAAACAGCAGGTGCCTCCAGGCTGATGTAAGTTGTCTACACCTCTCCAAGTAGTTCTGTTTGCTTCATTATCCCCTGTGCCTGGGGCAAGACATGCTTCAGTCTTCCTCTTTTGGTCCCATGTGTACTTTGGGGGCAGCCTTTCTCTCAGGAGTGGACCTGAAGATGATGAATTGCTGTCCTGCTGAGGATGTGACAATTTATCTCCTCATCCTCCAGACTGAGGATGCTCTCTCTGTCTTTCTGCTGTTGTCCTGGCAGGACTGGTGTCCTAAGCACAGGGACTCAGGTGTAGGGATCCTGAGCATTTTTGGTTTTGGGTTTGGATTTTTTTTAATACTTTCATCAAATAACACTGATGTGGGAGTTGAATTACAACTTCCCAAAACTGCCTGGTTGGATCTTTGCAAAGAAAAGCCCTGCAGAACTAAGCAGGGTGTGTGGAGAGGCAGGTAAGGAGGGTGAGTCTTGGCAACGTCATGTCTAGGGCTGCTCTACCACTGGCCAAGGCTTCCAGCACAGAAATATGTGCTATCAAACAGCCCTCCAGCTTGGCTTGTGCTGGGCAAAGTGTGCTGGATGGGAGCCTCCAGGCTGTTCCCCACTCCTTGCAACACATGGGGATCCCTTGTCCTGGTTTCTTGCAGGGTCTGGAGCCAGGGCAGAGATGCTGCTGCTCCCACAATGTGCCAAAGGACTGCCAAGCCCAGGCAGGTGTCTGGAGTCCTGTGTTTTTTGCCATAAACATAAATCTCAACAGGAGGTTGATGTGCCCAGATGTCAGATTTTTGAAACCTTGCATGTGGTTGTACCTGAGAGCTGGCTCATGACTCCATAGCTGTGGTCCACAACCTGCTTTCCTCCTCGTGACAGTATGGTCAGGGCTTTCCTGTGAGAGCACTGCCACCTCCTGAGCCTTTCACCCCTCCTTTCTCCATCTGCTTCACCCCCTCCCCTGTAACAGGAAGCAGGGTAGGGAGCCAGCAGCATTCCTCACCCTGCTCCCTGCTGTGCCCTGTCCTTTGGGTTTGCCCAAAGGGAGGGTGCACCCAGGTCCAACCTGTGACCATCTGGATGAACCAGAAGGGGAATATTCAGAGCATTTCTCTTAACCTGTAGCCAGGAGAGAGCTGCCAAGGAGGCCACGCTGAAACCCGAAGCGGCTGTTTTTCCCGAGACTCAGCACTTGGCAGGGAGAGCAGACGGACAAGTGGTAGAGCAGGGAGGGATGCAAGTGCCCTGGGGAGCAGCACTGCCAGTGGAGGTGCCCAGGGGAGGTGCCCAGAGAAGGCATGCTGGCTTACCTGTTTGTCTCTGGGGATCCATCTCCATGTCCTCCTTGGTCGAGATCGTGGGGAGGGTCAAGAGGAGACTGGGGTCATTGTTAACCTTCTTTCCTTACATGTGGCTCTTCCCTTGGTCACTCTCTTCACACCATGTCCTGAGCATCTCCTTCAGCAGCGAAAAGCAACGACTGGCTTTCCCCATGCATCAGAAAGGTCAGGAGATGGTCCAGGTGTCCCTCTCGGCTCAGCTGCTACCGAGTTTGGCTGAGCCAGCCCAGCCAGCAGCACTGTCCCTGCCTGGACCTTTTTTCCTTTATAGCTCAGCGTTATCTCAAGGTCTCTGCTGTTGCAGCCGGCCCCGTGTTTGCCTTCCCTCACAGCACCTGCCTGCCAGCCGGTCGCTTCCCACCCATCTCCCTCCCACTCCTGCATGGTGGCAGGGGGCTTGGAGGGGGTGATGTGGGTGCCCTCAGGGTGTGGGGAGCCCCTCCATGGGGATGCAAGTCAGCCTCAGTGCTGCCAGCCCCAGGGGAGCGAGCAGGGATGTTGCCCAGTGTGGGATGGTGGGAGAGTTACTGGGGGGCATCTGTCCCATCACCTTTGCTTCCTGGTCCTCATCAGCCTTGCTGCTGCCGAGACAGGAGTGGGTGTTATATTGAATCAACCCAGGACACTGTCCCAGCCTCATCTCTGCTGCCAGGACGGGGCTGGATGTATGGCTGAGCTGCCATGCCCTGCCCTGTCCAGGCAGCATCAGCCCTTCCACCCGTGGGGAGCGCCAAGACTTCATCCAAAGCTGAGATGTTGTTAAAAATAGATCAGTCGTGAACTGGTTTTCTCCTTCTTGGTTCCTGGCCCAACAGCTCATTCCTCTCTCTGGGCTGGCTCTGAAGCTGTGTGGGTGCTGTGAGACACAGGCTCCACAGCAGCCTGCCACTGCAGGGAGGTGTGGACAGCAGAGAGCTGAAAAATGTTAGAGGTGGCGTGGCTGTCCCAAATATATTTCGTGGTTAGTGAGTGCTTTCTCCCAGGAAAGAAGACTTGGAAAAAGAATCTGCTAAATAAATAGGGAAATGGAGCTGGGATAGCAGGGACTGTTTGCCTCTCTGCTTGCTCGTGGTGCTCTCGTGAGGGATCAAAGGCACCTGAGCACTGCAGGCCACAAAGCAGTGCTCACCTCAGCCCCATGGCTTCCTAGAAAACACCTGCCAGGCTGCCACCCCCACCCATCCCCTCATCCCAGAGCAGTCCCACTGGCCCTTCCTGCGTGGTTCTGCAGGAGCTCCTGATACCACTGCAGGGTCACTGCATCCTGGGCTGGTGGTCTGCTCACCTCCAGGGAAAGGCCCTTTGAGACTGATATTCTGGATCCAGTCTCTTCTTGTAGCCCTTTTCTGTCCTTCTCATTCTTCAATACAGTTTTCCAGGTGTGAACACTGAGTCTGGAGACAGTTTTAAGATGCAGCTGTGAAACCTATTATCAGTGTCCCTGCTGTCAAAGACATGCTGTTCAGGGCTGCACGTAACCACTGAGCAATTAAACAGCAGCCCTGGTGATGAATTACAACTGAGACCTCCTGGGGCTAAATAAATATCGGCTGATAACTACTGATAAAATGAATTTCTGTGTGCTTTTTTTTTTTTTTTTTTTAAGCAGCCTTCCAGTATCTGTGCCCAGTCCTGGCACTGCATGTCTCCTGGGGAAAGTTGCATTATCTGTGGCATTTCCATCCTCAGCACCTTGGGTTTCCAGCCGGAGCTGGAATAAAAATAAACAAAATAAATCCATGTCCCCGCAGGTGCCAGGTGAGGGAGGGAAAGGCAAGGCAAGGCAACACAGAGGTGGAGCAGGGAGGGAGAGAAGTGACAAGCTGAGGTTTCGGGTAACCAGTTTAAATATCTTTTCCTCCAATGATCCCACCTTAAAGGCATGAAAAAAACTGTCATGATGCAGAGCATCCCTTGAAAAGCCAGCAGGACAGGGAGAGCTGCAGAGCACTGGTGACAGAGTGGTGGGCACCCTGAGGTGATGTGAGGGAGAGCAGCAGTGCTTCACCCAGCACCTTCCCTCAGGAACGGGTGCAAGCCCACCTGCAGGCACCCTTACACCCTCTGCCTGCAGAGGCTTCTGCTCTCCAAAGGGAGTTTGGAAACAGGCAGAGAATAAATTATGGAACTTGGTGGAAAAATGATGTTTGCCAGTGACTTTGAGAGATTTCTGAGCAGGTTTTATCTGTGCTGGTGTTTCATCTGGGGGCTTCTATTCCCGTGTGGGAGTGTCAGGAGGGCTGGTGCTCTGTATCCCTGGGTGCAGCTTTCCCACTCTCCAATGGCTGTGGAGAGCAGCTGCACAGTCGGGGAAAAAGCATTTGGATGAACATTCCATCTGCCTGGTTTGCAAGTGAAAATAAGGCTTGTCCAATGGCCAGCTCCACCCAGAGCAGAAAATCAGACCCTTTGGCAGAGCAGTGCTGCTGTAATGAAACTGAGCTGTGCTGAGACTGCCAGTCCTTGAATGGGAAAGATCTCACGTGGTTTCAGAGAAGTTTGGGGATGGATCTGTTAAAACTGCTGCTTAGGGTTTTTGGCACCACCTGGGGACACCCACTGAAGGTGGATGTCACCCTGTGGCCCAGCCCACCCTCTGCACTGATTCCACATTGTCTTCTCCCTGCAGCACATCCTTCCAGGCCTGGAACTGTGTGGGCTTGCAGAGCCATGATGAAGCTCCTGCCTGTTGCCCCTCTCCTCCTGCTTCTCCTGACGACACTGGAAGCCAGACCAAAACCTGCAGGTGAGCCCCAGATGGTGGGGAGGAGAAAGAACCAAGAGCATCAGGGCAGTGGAGCCCTCGGATGACAGCTTGCTGTGTGAGGTGGGGGGACATGATGCCTCTTCTTTGGAGGCAACCCCAGGAGGATGGAGATCCCCCCAGATGTGAGGCCCAAACTTGCCAGTGCTGCCATGGGGGGTGGGAGCCTCAGCCTGGCCCCAGAATGGTGGGTCTGGTGCCACTTGCTCTGGGCATATCCCCAGCTTTGACACAGCCCAGCTCAGGGCTTGTGACCCTCCTCCCCATGGGCTGTGACCTTGGCAGGACATGCAGGCATGAGGGGGAACCCCCTCCTTGCATGAGTTTCCAGGGTGGGGGGGGGAACAAAGCAAACCCAGGGATAGCAGTCTGTCTCCTTTCAGGGCAAAGGGATCTAAATCAATCTCAGTTTAAAACCAGTGAAGGATCCAAATAGAGAAAGGAGTAGGTATGTCTCAGAGACCTTCGGAGCAGTTGAGATGATAGCCTAGGTCTGGGCATCATCCCAAGGGGACTCAAACTGTTTGCTTACCATTAGGGCCAAATTCTCCCAGGCTTGGGTGCACACAAGCCAAGCAAAATATATTCATTGGCATTTCACTTGCTGAACAATCTCCCAATTTTCACTGGAAGTATCATCCTTGTGTCCAAGAGAGGTTCTTTGGCTTGATCTCCACACTGTGCATGCCCTTAGCTTTGCTCTACTCTGTCTCATTTTCTGCCCTGAAAAAAAACACAACCACAACAACCCACAGTCAGGCATGTCTCCCCAGCCTGTTGGCCCTGCTCCCACACTACCAGCATCTTCCATGACTTTACTGGGCAGTGGGAAGGTGCTGGTTTGTGGGGGCTACCCAGACCCACTCTCTCCATCTCTGACTGAGCACCCCTCCAGCCACCCAGCAAGGATGGCTCTGCTCCCAGACCTGCTCCCCGCAGACAGCCACGAGGCTGAACCGTCTCTTTGCCCCTCTCCAGCCCTGAAGTGCAGGACGGGTCCCCTGGACATCGTGTTTGTGATCGACAGCTCCCGCAGCGTGCGCCCCTTCGAGTTCGAGACCATGCGGCGCTTCATGATCGACATCATCGGCAACCTGGACGTGGGCCCCAACGCCACGCGGGTGGGGGTGATCCAGTACTCCAGCCAGGTGCAGAACATCTTCTCCCTCAAGACCTTCTTCACGCGGGCGGAGATGGAGAGGGCCATCAACAGCATCATCCCGCTGGCCCAGGGCACCATGACGGGGCTGGCCATCCAGTACGTCATGAACGTGGCCTTCACCGCGCAGGAGGGCGCGCGCCCTCCGCACAAGAAGATCCCCCGCATCGCCATCATCGTGACGGACGGGCGGCCCCAGGACCGTGTCACCGAGGTGGCCACCCAGGCCCGGAATGCCGGCATTGAGATCTACGCCGTGGGCATCCAGCGGGCAGACATGAACTCGCTGCGGGCCATGGCCTCGCCGCCCCTGGAGGAGCACGTCTTCCTGGTGGAGTCCTTTGAGCTCATCCAGCAGTTTGGGAAGCAGTTCCAGGACAAGCTTTGCGGTGAGCGAGGGATGCTGCTGTGGAGTTGCAAGGGTGGCCCTGGTGTCTGCTCCTCACCAGGGATAGAAGATGTCCTTCAGAGGGGTGTTTGGGGTGGCTGCCCATGCTGGGAGCGGTGTGGATGGGGAAGCAACCTCCCCAGTGAGATCCTGGGACAGGGCACTGCTCAGTGTCCATGTCTGTACACTGGAAATCAGTGGCTGAGCACTGGGGCTGGCAGGGCTGGGGCTGTGTGGGTCGTCCCAGTGGCTTCTGCTGCACGGACAGGGCATATTCCAAAGCTGGGTGTCCGGTGTGCCCGTGGGCCACTCTGATGCCCATTCTGTCTTGCAGGAGTGGACATGTGTGTGGAGCAGGAGCACGGCTGCCAGCACAGCTGTGTCAGCACCCCTGGCTCCTTCTACTGCGAGTGCAACCCCGGCTACAGGCTCAACGTGGATGGAAAGACCTGTTCCCGTAAAAACTCTTTTTATTATCCAAACTCTCATAGGGAGCCTGTAGTTATGGGTCCCATGGAGGGAAGCTGGGACACAGCAGAGGACCCAGCAAGGCCAGCAGCAGCCTGGGTGCTCTCTTCACTGGGCCCTCTGCTTCCCAGGTCTGTAATGACTGCAGACATTCAGTGTTGCCAAATCCCGGCCACACCTCTGGGATGGAACACTTGGGGTTCATATGACCTGTCATCTGAGGGGGTCTGGGCAGTGTGTATCAGAGGATGCACATCCCAGCACTGAAGAGCGCAGTGTTTTTTCCCTGTATTTTACTTCAAAGCCATGTTAGTCGGCCTGGTCACCACACCAGGACTTTTCCTTCTTGTCTCACGGTGCTGGGAGCTGCTCTGAAGTCCTGGAGCGGTCCCAGGGAGGCCGGGACAGGAAGGTGATGGGTGTCCTGTTCCCCTGCAGCCATTGATGCCTGTGCAGATGGGAGACACGGCTGTCAGCACCACTGTGTCAGCACTCGGGGGTCGTACTCGTGCCGCTGCCGGCCAGGTTACTACCTCGGTCAGAACAAGAGGAGCTGCATTAGTAAGTGATGGTCTCCCTCCCTGTCCCTTCTTCCTTTGCTCCTCGTTCTCCCTCTCCTCTTGTCTTTCCCTTTCTGCCCTCACTTCTCCTTCTCTCACCAGTGATCGATTACTGCAGCTTCGGGAACCACAGCTGCCAGCACGAGTGTGTGAGCATTCCCAGCGGGCACTACTGCCCCGCTGCCGCAGCGGGTACACGCTGCAGCCCGACGGCAGGTCCTGCAGGGGTAGGTCCCACCGTGGCACACGGCACAGGCTGTGCATATGGCAGATGCCTTTATGTCCTGCCCTGTCCCCAGGGGAAGGGCTGTTCCTAGACCACTCCACCTGAATGGGGATAACCCCCTGCCCTCGGCTTGTCTTCCAGCCACTGACCTCTGCAACGGGGTGGATCACGGCTGCGAGTTCAAGTGTGTGAGCACGGAGGGCTCCTACCACTGCATGTGCCCTGAGGGCCAGCAGCTCCAGGCTGATGGGAAGACATGCAGCAGTGAGTACTGGGACATGGCTCTTGGCATTCTCCTTGTCTGGGCTCTCCTGGGGAGGGCTCACCTGAAACTGGGCAGGGGGACTCTAAGTGGGACTTTGAGCTAGTTTGGAAGAGGATGGAGAGCTAGCTGTGCCTGGGGGAGCACCCTGGTGCTGCAGGGATGGATGCTTGTCTCCTCAGAGACATGGCCCAGAAGATGCACAACTTTGAGGAAAGGTTCAGGGAAAGAGAGACCTAGGAAAGACTTTCACAGGGTGTTGGGGTGCCAGTGGAGGTTTTTGGGCTGAATCCTCTGCGCATGCTTTGCCTCACTTCCCAGCTGCAGTTCCAGGGGCTCCCCACAGTGTCCCGAAGCCCAGAAGCTCTGCCCCAGCCCTGGGCACCTTCACTCTGTCAGTGCCCATGGCCAGGCTGGTCCCCTCTCATCTCCCCCCGTGCTTGCAGAGTGTGGAGCTGGGCACGTCGACCTGGTGATGGTGATCGATGGCTCCAAGAGTGTTCGTCCCCAAAACTTTGAGCTGGTGAAGCAGTTTGTGAACCGCATCGTGGACCTGCTGGACGTGTCCCCCCACGGCACACGGGTGGGACTGGTGCAGTACTCCAGCCGCGTCCGCACCGAGTTCCCCCTCAACAAGTACCACAGCGCGGATGAGATCAAGAAGGCGGTGATGGATGTGGAGTACATGGAGAAAGGCACCATGACAGGCCTTGCCCTCAAGCACATGGTGGAGCACAGCTTCTCTGAGCTGGAAGGTGCCAGGCCTCTCTCCCACAACATCCCCAGAATTGGGCTCGTCTTCACAGACGGACGCTCCCAGGACGACATCTCCGAATGGGCCAGGAGAGCAAAGGAGTCAGGTGTGGGGGTCTGGGGAACCCCAGGTCACCGTGCTTTGGGCATCCTGGGATGGTTCCTCAGGGTGGCTCTGGGGGAGAGGCTGCAGCATCCAGCCTTGGGGGGCTGCATCCCCTGGGTTGGCAGGGGCAGACGTGCTCTGCTGTGGTTGCAGGGTGCTCTGAGCAGCGTCCTTCATGCAGCAGCCTGCACCACCACAGTGCTGCCTTGCTCCTGCCCATCCTTCCTGAATTCCTGCTGTGTGTTTGGGAAGCCCAGAGAAAATCCTGCATCCTCGGCTTTGCCCTCTCTGGGCTCGGGGCTGCTTGCTGTGGGGTGGCCAGCACAGTGCTCAGGATCCATCCTTGCCACGCAGGGATCGTCATGTTTGCTGTGGGCGTCGGAAAGGCCGTGGAAGAGGAGCTGAGAGCGATCGCCTCCGAGCCCGTGGAGCAGCACTTCTCCTACTCAGCAGACTTCACCACCATGACCCACCTTGTGGAGAACTTCTCTCTGAACATCTGCCCAGGTGGGTGCTCCTGGACACGCCAGGAGACTCGGCCCCAAGCCAGGGGGGGCCCTCTTGTGCCCAGAGAGCCAGTTGGGGTGGTTTGTGTGTCTGTCACTCCGTGTCCAATACCCCAAGGCTGAGCTGGGCTGGTGTGAGCCTAGGTTGTCTCTGGATCTCACCAGGCTCTTGTGAGTATAGAGGTGGGTCTCAAGGAGGGTTTTGGGAGAAGAAAAGATGGAGCTGGGGGGATTAATTAAAAAATGGGGGGGTTAATACAAAAGTGTTAATGTGAGCAGCCACCCCCATGCTGTTGCATGGGCAGAAGTTGGGATGGCACCCTGCCCCAGCTCCAAAGGTAGCCTTGTCCAGACCTGTGCTTCTGCTGCTGGGTGCACAAGGACCACAGTGGGTTTCTGTGAAGGTCCTCCTGCCGTGGGAAAGGCTGGGGCTGCAGATGTGGAGTCAAGATGCCACCTGCCACCCCAACCTGAAGGCAAAGTAAAGCTCAGTGCTGGCTGTCCCTGGCACACTATGACCACGTGTGTGACAGCTCTGCGAGATGCCAGATGGGATGCCTGGAAAAGGACTTGCTGGGCTAGCAGGGATGCAGCCTGGTAAAAAGAGAGAGGCTGAAAAAAAAAGGCAAAACAGTGGGAAGGGCCATGAGGCTCAGATCCAGTCCTGGTGGGTGGCTGTAGGGACAAGGGAGTTGTACAGCAACAAGGGAGGGCCGTGGGGGCAGTGTGGGGCTGTGGCTCTGACTGCAGCCAAACCCCCACATCCCAGAGGAAGGCAAAGGGGAGACAGAGATCCGCAGCCCGTGTGAGTGCGAGGCACTGGTGCAGTTCCAGACGAACACCGTGGCCATCCTGCAGAGCCTGACGGAGAAAAATATCCTTTATGGTGAAACCTGGGCTTGCTTGGGTGTAGGGCAGCTGGAAACAGAGCTCACACAGGGAAGGGAGGGAAAGTTAAGGGGGGTGAGAAGAATTTTAGGCTTCTTCAAAGGGAAAAAGCTCTTTGCCCCCACACAGTCCAGCTCATGCTGTTTCCTTAGCACGCTCACTTGCTCAGATGACAGCCAGACTTGAAGACTTGGAAAAGCAGATTGCCAACAAGAAGTGATCCTGGCAGAGGGCTGCAGCACTCAGATGGGGCACAGGGATGTACAGTAGCTACATGACATTATTATTGCTAGGTTATGGTAAAGCATCAGTGTTCGTTCTTATATCTCAAAATCCCTGGGGGGATGTGGATTGTATTTAAAAAAAAATCCTAAGAACACCAAAAAGGAACTTGATCAAAACCTCTGCTGTGAAGCCAAGGGGTTTCACCCATCGCTGTTGCCTCGTTTCTCCCAGCTGGAAGGTGTGGGATGAGGGGAGATGACCATGTGGCCAGACAGGTCTTTGGACAGATGTGACACCTGGCCTTTCCACAGAGCAACTAGGATGAGCCAGCCCTGCACAGCCCCTCTGGAGCCTGGCAAGCTACTTTGCAAGAGAAAAATCCTACAGTGGTGTCACCCTGAGAGTTTCTCTTGTCTCAGCATCTGCTGCCAAGTGGTGGGGCAAGAAGAGCTGGGTGGCACGGGCAGGGCCAGGAATGCCTGTCCAGCTCCTGCCATGGTGCCAAGGTGGGCTCCCATGGGAAAGCAGGTGGCAGGAATTGTCAGATCCCTTGGCCCTAGTTTGGCAGAATTATTTGGGAATCGGTATTATCTTGTTTGGTTTTATAATCACATAGCAAAATGGTAATTATTCTATCAATATGTATGTGTGTGTATATATCTATGTATATTTAATTTTGAGAGCAGAGTAGTGCTATTTTGAAACTCATCTTTTCTATAAAGGAATTTCTATCCTGACAATAAACCCCCTGAAGATTTGTATGTCACGTGCCTCTCCTTTCAGCAGGGCTTCAGAGTCCCAGAGGTATCTCTGCATCAGGACAGGGGCCTCTGGCTTTTGGAAGTTCCCCTGTGCTCGGGCTCCACAAGTCCTTTGGGGAAATCTTTGCTCTGTGGACAACCCAGGCCCAGCCTCAGCTGGAGGGAGCCAGCATGCCATGGATACTGTGTCCCCATTGCCGGGGTTTGCTTTGGAGCCTGTGCTTCTTGGAACACAGGGATCTCCAAGGTGAACTGGGGGATGGACCCACGGCCTGGCCCAGGCGCCCCATGGAGCCATTCTGGGCTGTGTGCTGGGACAAGGGACAGACGGGACCTGCTCCTGACATGTCCCTGCACACTCTACAAAGAACCAGCACCATCTTCATTCCTTTGTCTAAGCACAAAAGTGTTTCCTTCCTCTGGAGGGATAACACAACATTCCCCACGGTTCTCCATGAAGCTGCAGCCCCTCCAGGGCTCATCCCAGCCCCCAGCACTGAGTCCTCAGCACAGGAAGGACATGGACCTGCTGGAGAGAGTCCAGAGGAGGCCTCAAAGGTGCTCTGAGGGCTGGAGCCCCTGTGCCCTGAGGAAAGGCTGAGAGAGTTGGGGTTGCTGAGCTGGGAGAAGGTCCCAGGGAGGCCTCAGTGTGGCCGGGCAGGAGCTGAAGGGACCCAGAGGAAATCTGGGACAGAGTGTTCAGCAGGGCCACCAAGGGGGGGTGGCTTTGCACTGAAGGAGGTCGATTTAGGTTCGACCCAAGGAAGATGTTTTCTTCCAGTGAGGGTGGAGGGGACTGGCACAGGCAGTGCCTGAGAGGCTCCATCCCTGGGAACATTGAAGGGCCGGTTGGACGGAGCCCTGAGCAACCTGGTGTGATGGAAGGTTGTTCAGGTTAGAATGAGATGATCTTCAGGGTCCCTTCCAAGACAAACCATTCAAGGATTCCATCATTCCATGATTCCCATCCCCCACTGTGGAGCGGCCCCACAGCTCCTGTGACAGCTCCTGGAGTTGTGTCCGTGTTCCATGTGGAATGGCCAGCACCCAGTGATGAGCACAAAGCAGCCCTGCTACCATTGCACCTTTCTGGAGCTCCCAGTGCACCCTCTGCCCTGACCACCCTTCATCCTGCTCCCAGCAGACTGTCCTCACCTGCTCCCTCCAATACCCATCAGTCCGGAACAGTAGCTGCTGTGTGGATCTTGTCATCCATCCCAGCAGGATGCTCCCTCTTGTCCTGATGAAGGTACAGTGCTGTTCCATGGAGGTGGGCACCCCCCATGGAGGTGGGCTGGAGCTCTGTGGGAGTGGTGTGGGACAGGGACCCCATTCTGAGACTGTGCCCCCTGACATGGGCTGCCGAGACATGGAAGAAGAGATGGAAATTGATAGTGTATTGGATAGTGAGGAAACGATGGAGATAGATCTGGAAGAGGATGTGGAGGAAGAGATGGAGCCCCACTGGCAGAGGTCACTCTGCTTTAATTTTCTTTGCACACTCTTGGTATTAGAAGATGCAAATCCTGCCGGGCTCTGTTCCGTGGGATCCCATCTGGGACCTGGTCCTGCCTCATTAATGTCTCTTCACTAGGTGGCACCAGACACCAGCGCTCACGAGGGTGCTCTGGGCTGTGGGCACCCCCTTCTCCCGGGCACCCCGAGGTGCTGGAGGCAGCCCGGAGGGGAGCAGAGCATCCTCAGCCATGAGCTGGGGAATGTATGGTTGGATGGAGGGGGGGATTGATGGATGGAAGTCATCATCAGGCTGAAAGCACTTCATCCCCTGGTGGGGCACAAGGGCTGCTTTGCAGGGCACAAGCTGTTCCTTGGGCACTTAGTGCACCTTTCTAAGGCTGGGGGACCCAGGGCTACTGGTCTCATCCCTTCCATCCCCAGGGAATACAAACTGGAGAGCCTTGCTCTGGCTGGGAAAATGCAGCATCTGCCACAGCATTCTGGGCATCTCACAGCTCAGGTCTTGCTGCCTCGGGAGGAAGCTCAGAGAGTGGTTTTCATGTAGAAGAGCATGAGCCATATGGAACGGGGACTGCTCTGAGGGACCCTGGGGCCATGGGTGCTGCACGGGGCCTGCAGGCAATCCTGTGCCCAGAAATGCCTGGGTCCTGGTTATTCTGTGGGAGTTTTCAACAGAAGGAGTTCAGACTATTCCCCCTGCTATGAATAAAGCACTATTGAATACGCTTCAGATGGATTTCTTCCCCTCCATCTTCTCTGCAGTTTAATCCAAGCCTGGTTCCTTAGTTTTTTCTCCTCCCTTGGAGGCATAGGTCCAAGCCCCACCTCAGCCAGATCCTGGCACCAGATGGGAGCACAGCATTGTCCTCTCCAGCCCCAACAGCAGCTGAGTGCCAAAGGATTGCTTAAAAATTAATCCAATGCTTGTATTTCTCATTAAAAGTGCTAAATTGTTGGTGCACAGCCCAGAAAGTCTATTTGGGTTGGCTATATCCTCTGCTGGTTATTTAATAAATGACTTTACAAAGAGCTAAATGCAGCCACAGAGTTAACAGGGAAATCGGACAATAATTAACAGATATCCAGTAAGTTAATGTGGCCCATTAAGACTTGAGAATGGAAGGTTGAAAAGGAAGCAGTGCAGTAAGATGCCCACTGTGCCCTGGCTGGAAGGCGGTGGCTCCAGAGGCTGGGTCAGTGCAATGGTGGGGGGCTCAGGGGCTGCACAGACCATCTAGGGCTGATATTGGGCTTTTGCTGCTCCTCACCCTTCCTGGTTACAAATCAGGGGCTGCCCCAGCCTGCTCTTTGTGGGAATGTGGAGTGTTTGGCTCCACAGGGACATTCCCAAAGCCTGCTTCTGGCACAGCTTGGTTTCCTGCCAGCCCGAAAAGTCCCACAGAAAGGGTCCAGGAACCCCTTACACAAGGTGAGGGGGCCGTTGACCCACCGGTGGGAAATGGAGCAACTTCCCATTGCCCAAGGGCAGTTAAAGAAAACGGATTTGCCTGGAGGCCGGGGAAGCAGGGGGTAGCATTCCTTGGAAGGGAGGAAGAGATGGAGGGCTGAATGCTGGTGGGACCTCTGCCATTCAGACAAGGAATACAGTCCCCATTCCCTACAGCCATCAAGAGTTAGGGCTTAGTTGAGCTGTCCTTGTGTTCCATGATGGCTGATGACAGGGCTGTGAGGAGTGGATTATCCTACCCCAGCGAAGCCAGTCGCTTTCTTCCAGCATCAACCTGATTCCTACAAGGCAGCAGCCACCCAGAGAAGATACTGGGGTTCAGGTGACCCCCAAAGAGGTTGAGAAAGACTCACTCTTGGCTAAGCCAAAGCTGTTTTCCCCATATTAGCTTATACCCGCAGTGGGACAGGAGTCAGGAGGGTTTGGGGCTGGGGCAAGTTACCTCTGGGAAAAACTTGAAGGATCATTCCTGGGAAGGCACAGGCAGCCTCATGCTGATCCGGATTGTGCTGTGAGGTTTGGTTTGCAGATCCACATGCAAGCAAAGTAGAGAGGGGAAACCCACTTCATAGAGCCCCAGAGGGGAACATGGCACGGTCACCACAATGGTTTCTCCTGAAGGATACCTGCAGAAGGGTATTTGCCCAGAAGAAAGCAGCTTTACTGCCTCCAGCCTGCCGGGGGAACGATGCCTTGGACCATCTTCCCTTGGCTTGACCCTCACCCCAGGTGTGGTTGCAGGGGACAGTTGTGCAATGGAATAACGTTTTTTTGAGCAATTGAACAATACCCTCTGTGTCTTGTGCAAAAGGCTTCCAGAAGACACAACGCAATAGACAGAGGAAAAAAAGGTACAAACATCCTGTTCCCCACCCCCATCCTCCCGAAGGGTTTAAATGTCCGTGTGCCACACCTCTCACACTCACACCTCCCAGGGACAGGGCAGCATGAGGTCGGTGGCCGCCCTTGTCCTGGTGGGGATGCTCATCCTCTGGGCAGAACTGCCAACAGGTACGGGACATCCCAGGGTAAGGTACAGGGAGGAAAAGCTCACAGGTTGGGAAGGAGTCATGTTTACAAGGATCCTGTGGGAGGGAAAGGAAGAGGAGAGGAGAGCAGAGGGGTGTTTGCTGGGCAGCATCTCCCCAGGGTCCCGCAGTTGCCCTGGAGCAAACAAGTCCCTCCTCTTGCAGGCAGCGCCTGGTCCTGCCCACCCGTCCGCATCGTCTGCGCGATGCACAACCCCCCGAACCAGTGCAACAGCAACTGGGACTGCCCCATGTTCAGGAAGTGCTGCCCCACCTACTGCGGGAGGAAATGCATTCGGAAGCCCAGCAGAGGCCCCATCCATGGTAGGAGCTCGGGAGCCCCCCCGCCT